GGGGGGGGCGGCGCGCATCTATGCTCAACAGAAAGCCTGGGTTGAAAACTTGTATGGAGGAAAAATACTGATAGTGGTATCAACAGAACAGTGCTTCATGGGAAAGAGAGCTGAAAATGGCCACAGCGCATTACTGAGAGCAGGGGGAAACCTCTTCCAACTTCAGTTTTGATGAGGGTCTTGCCCAAGAAGTTCTTTCTAGAGACATCTCATTTAAGTGTGGGACATAAGCTACAACTGCCTACGCTTTCAAGCCAGGCTCCCCACTCCCCCTCGCCACTTCCCCACCTCTGTCTCGCAGCCCACCTGGCACACAAGCTCTTCCTCCTCATTCCATCCCCTCCCCAAGCCCTCAGAGGATGAGAGGTTGTGAAAATAGGGAGTACCCAAATGTGTGAGCGTACAATTGAATCTAGATGGTGATTCAGCTTGGCCAGTTAACAGTAAGCTATGTTAGGGGAGGCCGAAGTTTACTGCCAAAATCTCTTTGGATCCACTTACTGTGACGCTTGAATTCCTTTTGCAGTTTGCTGATTTGATTGCTCTTTATTCTGCTTCCAGACAGAGTTTTCATTTTCTTTGGTTTCAATGTTGTTTTAAGACTGGGTCCAGCCCTGGCATCTACCACCTAGAACACAGAAAATGCATGCATAATACTTCTGCATCACGCCCAGGTACTGCCCTAGTGAAAGTACCTGTACTGACTTAACTGAAGGTGTTCAAAACCAATTTAGTTAAACCAAGGCAGTTCTGTGCACCAACACTCCTATGTTTCATTTAAATCTGGTTTGTAAGAGGCTGAGTCTGTAGGAAAATGCAGCAAACCAGTTTAAAAAGCACATTCAGTTCAACTTTAGCCTTCTTCCTACTTTGACAAGTTCAGTTTAGTAGACATCAGTTGTTTAAGCCAATACAAGTTCAGTTAAGACTGTCTGCCAAGCTTCTGCCCTGGAGTTTTTTTAAAAAAAATCATCAGTGTAACTTCTGAATAAAGCTAGTGGTAGTAATAACCATAGTTCTGGCTCCCATTACCATCAACTCTTCCTGAATAAAGATTATAACATACACAGAGAATCCTGATCATCTTCCCAGCCCTAGGCCTGAACTGAACTAGATGTATCAAAACAGAATGTATGAGTGGGAATAGCTGCAAGATATTAGTCATTGTAACTATCTGACTAAATGACATTGATTTACGTGTTGCTTAAGCAAGTCACCTTGCTTGTTCAAACTATTAAAAAAAAAACTTAAAAAAAAAGCAACCAATTTTGGATAGAGGCCAAATCTGAAATGTTTTGAGTGTCATAAGAAACTTTTGGACAAAGTTATGAGCTTGTGAAAACAAGGAATTACAAGGTAAGTTACTCTGTGACTCCATCCCAGGCTTGCATAATCACCATTTGCACATAAGCCAAACAAAGACAGGTAAGAGCCACATAACAGGAAATACTCCAGGAAGGATTTAGAGACTTTGAGGGTGGGCAGAGAGGGCATGGAGGAAATAGCAAATCCCAAATCCTTGCCAGCACCTCCCCTCTCTAGCAGGATGGACTAAGGCAGAGAAGAGTTAGTTTTGGGGTGGAGAAGAAATAAATGACTAACGTGATTCCAGTTCTTTTTTGATCCTGCTGGCAATTTTTTCCATCTTTTCACCAAAAGGACACAGGCATTGCAAATATCTCCTGAGCGGGCCTCATGGAGCCTGGTAAAAACAAAAACAAAAAAATCACTTGACAACAGTTAATAAAAGCCTCCCCCCCTCCCCCTGATAACAACAAGAAGCATAAAAATTGATGGAAAAGAAGGGATCTCAAGTTCTGTTTTTCAAGCATTACAATTCATCTGAGGTGCTCAAACATTGCCATTTAAAGACCAGGTCTCACGTTCAGAAAGCACTCTTCCATACAGAAAAAAAAGGCATTGTAATCTGCCTTCAGAGGGGCACTAAAAACAACAGTCCCATCACCTTCTGTTGGTTTTGTTTAAAAAAACCCAACCAACCAAACCCCAACAACACAGTTCCAGTGGGTTGGTTGGTCTGATTGGAGAGGGAGGGAGGAGCAATAATCATATTCTTTGAACGTACATTTGGGAACAGACCTCAAGAGATCCGCCAAAAGCTTATTCAGCTCTTAACTTTCTCACAGAGCTTCAAGGATGAGTAACAAATACCACCTAACATAAGTGCAGAATAAGGTTTCAGAACCAGCATTCACTGGAATGACAGCAATACTCGCTCCCTTTAACAAGCTTTCTTCAGAAATCATCTCTACTGTTAATCCACGCTAAAAGAAACATGAAAGGGATACACTGTAGAATTTTTCAGCTATTTAAATAGGAAGACTTTGAAGCATTTATAGATGAACGGGGCAGGCTCAGATAACCCGTTATTTGCTCAGTGCGAAGACTGCATTTTTACCTTGGCAAACATATTTCAGATAGCACAAGACCAAAGGCCCTGGTATACTGCAAGCTTCTTTACTGTTGTTAACAAAAAAACAACCAAACAAACAAAAAAGCAATGGGCCTTCACACAGTCTTTCCACTGCCAAGGACGGTAGCCAAGAAATATGACAAGGGAAATTGTCAGCACCAGATTTATGTACAAAAATCCATGGTAAATACAAAGCGCTATAAAGCTTTGGTTTTGTCCTTTCAACACTTGAAAGGAGGAGTGTTTCTAGAAAAAGTGGAGGGAAATATTTCTAAAGATTGCAAAGATTTACACATATGAAGTTAAACACTTTAGACAAGAGCAGCAATACTGTATGTATAGTTTTTAATATGATGCACGAATTTCCACTCAGGCCTAAGGTTTTGATGAGAGGTAATCCAACAAGACTGGAAAGAAAAAGCAGAAAATATCTATTGACCACAGACTTTTTTCCAGGGGAAATAATTTCATGGAAAACTACAGCATAAACAGGAGAAATTCTTACTGCCTCAGAAAAAAAAAAAAACCCAAACAAAAGTAAAAAATGATTACAAGCTATTACAGAAGAATTTGCTTTGCTGACAATTCAGGGACACAAATTTGAACAGAATTTCAAAGTTCTTAGCAATTATTTCAAAAAAGTTAAAAGGTCACAGCAGCTAGTACGAGAAATCACTGTTATTTATAGTTTTGCTTACCAATGCTTTCAAGTAACATTACGTGCAACATTACCTAATTGGAAAGCTCACTTTCCATCAGAATGAGTCTCCAATGAGAAGTTTTAGTAACATCTTGGTATACCCTATTTGAACAAAGGCACCAATACCTGAAACAAGGTACTGTGCATTAACCCTGCTGGAAATGCTAAATATTTACCCATCAAGTTTTGTTTAACATTCTTGAATCCTCAAAGCCACAGAAAACCTCTATGGTCATGTACTGTTTACCATCTTGTGTGGGAATTTACACCTTTAAGGAACACGTGCGAAAGGCAGAGTCTGAGAGGGGTCTAAATCCCTGCATGTCCTGTGAGGTGGGAGAGGCACGAGCCTGACCCTTTGCTGTTATGAACCACAGCAGCTCTCCACTGGAAGCAGCAGCAGAGCGACAACCAAATGGTACCATACACAGCAGCAGAAGATCCAGCCCCACCCCAGCCTGGCCAGGAAAGTCGTGAGGAAGCTGAAGCTAGCCTTCGCCCGCCACCCACCTCTGCTAACCTAATCTTTCAGTCTCTCGGAGCAAGAGGGACAAGCACATCAGGTTCACGGCCCTGAGATCAACACCATGACTGACCACGATGTTGACTAAAGAAAGAATCTTACCCAAAACAATTCTGGAAATCCTTTTCATAACGTTTGCTGTCAGTGAAACGAGAACTGGAAGACTTAGCTCTGCAAATACAGCAGCCCTCTATACTCCGATACATCTTCGGTTTGTGAAAGCCAAACATCTTTTCCTCCTAGCTGTAGCCTGTGAAAACAAACAGGAACTGGTGTTACTTATCACTGTTAGATACTGAAAGAAAAACCTGGGCAAACCAAAAGTAAACTATAATTCAGGATGGGAAACTGCTAGATTAAACCATAGCTCTATCCTGCATTGCCCCAGAAGAGCAGATGCACCTAGAATACACTTTCTTATTAAAAAAAAAAGAATTAACAGCTGGAGTATTAAGCAACACTCAGTAGGACTCAGGACAACCTCATTTAGTGCACAATTCTACTCTAAGGGCACATCTACAACAGCACAACCCAGAGGTGTGAATGCAGCTGACTTGGCTAATGAAAACCCCACGTATGTGGCAAAACAGGCTGCAGGACAGGCTGTGTGAACCTGCCCGAGCCCCTGGTAAGTAGTTGGCAGCTGAACCCTGGGTCACTGGAACTACCTCGTCATCATCACCGGTGTTTGTTGGAAACATCCCTGGCAAACTTTGTTGAAAGTGAGTAGGAGTCATTTTAAATGAGCTGCACTCATACCTCTAGGCTGTAGGGCAGACATACCTGAAAAGCCACTCTAAAACCAGCAGGGTGGAGTCCCACCCAGCCCTCAATGGCCATGTCTGCGCTGCGGGACCCGGGAGCGCTTCTTGACTCTCAGGCCTGGGTGAGCATCCCAGCTCCGTGTGAGCACAGGCTCAGTCCTCGCCCTCCCCGCCCTGCTTTCCATGGGAAGGAAAGCCAGCTAGAAAAGGGCCGGAGGGCAGGACCCTGAGGCGCATTTCAGCATGCGCCTACCACACATCCCAGCCACCGCCAATGACGCCGGAGCAAAAGGTACTCCATTTACAGGGAAGTTCTTTCTTCTTAACCGCCAGCTCTGCAAACTCAGCACCGGCTCAGAAAGCCAAAAGCCATGCCAGTCTGCCTATCCTTTTCAGCACACCCGGGCTGGGATTTGCTATCAGAGCAGGTAATGTCCAGTGGAGGTGTTTTCCAGGCAGGAACTTTTAAATTTAGTTACAAGTGGATTTACTGCAGCCACCACGACAAAGACCCCTTCAACACATGATGTCCCACCATCAAATCGGTTCTCCCCAGGCACCGTTTACTCCCCAGTGCCGACTCCTGTTAGGCACAGAATGACACAGCATGAGAAGCTGTCAGAGCAAACCGAGCTCCTACAGCGCTTCAAAAAACCAAACCAACAACTGAGCAAAGCCGGTGCTTTCCTGGCGCTGGGCCTGGACACACAGCAAGTCCTCACAGGCCACACAGCATCTGTCTTATAGCCCAGGTGGGGACCGTTCCAGAGGTGCTCTTTTAAACAGACCACGATGCAAGGTTTGCCTCAACCACCTGCTGCAGGGAGCGAGCAGCCACCTCTGCTGCTTCTTATCACACGCTAACTGCTCAGAGACGGGACAGGCCACCGGTTGCAGGAAGCTCCATAACAGGTTCCCACTGCTGAGAACTTCTGCTTTTAAAAAATTAAAATTAGACAGAGCCATGCAAATAACACAAGATTTCCCCTTCTTCCCTTAACAAAAGGCCAAGTTGTTATATTCTTGTAGAAGCTAACAGAAAACTACCTCTCCTCCCCACAAATACTACTGAAAGGCCCAGTAGCTCAGGGCAGGACTTTCGGAAGAGCAGCATCTCCATCACTTGCAGGCAAGCCTGGCGAGAGGGAACTCCAGTCACTTCTCAGTCCCAGGGACTGCCAAGTCCCAGCAACCCAACATGGGTTACTGGTGAGTGTATGTGGCATAGGGATCTGTCGCCTAATCTTCCGCCTGCGGGAAGGTAAGGGACGTAATTCTAAGATCCTCCAGAGGGACAGAGAAAATTACCCTGACATCTTCAGTCTACAAGCGACAAGACTTGCCCCATCATTACAGCAATAAAATAATTTGAAAAGCAGCTTCAGGTCGAAAATACGCTTCCACAAAATGACCATACCTAGCATCGTGCTTACCTTACTGATGGACAGAGATTCCATGTGAGGGGAAAAAGATCCCGTACATTTCTGCGGGACCACAGCAAAAGCTAGCGAACCACCCAGGCCCAGTCACAGTCCTCCACACAGAGGTAAAAATACAACCTCCCGCCCCAGAAGGTAAGATCAGAGCACAGCAGCACTGCAAAATAAACACACGTGGTTCCTCACAAGGTTCCCAGGCTCCTGAGAACAACAGAAAAGCAAAACTTTTATCTAATATTGTTGGTTCATATGCTTACACAAAATCCATTACGGCACCCATATCCAGCTGAAAGTGTACATATTTACATTTCAATCTAGCATATAATACAAGACCACTTGGTGCCCACTGAGGTTGTGTCTCCTTGCAATTACCTACTGCACAAAAACGCAGAAAGACACAAGTCAACTCTCCAAAAAACTTGTCCTGACCAAACTGCTTGCAGAGCCTGTTGATGGCAAGGGACTTGTTAAGACAGAGATGGAGGGGATAGGTCTTTCCTTCCCTCCTGTCCCAACTCATGCTATTTGCCACAGGCTTGAAGTGCTGTATTTCTTTCTTCTTTGTGCACATTTACAGCACAAGGAGCTCACCTAGGGCTGCGTTCTCGCAGGGATGATTTGTGCCAGTATCCAGCAAAGTCACCCCAAATGCTGCCAGGCTTCTTAGGAGACTCATTGCTCCCTCTATTAGCACAGCATTGGCCTGAAGGTCAGGAGCGGCTGTAGTAAGTAAAAGAAGCTATCCAACTAGTGACTGCTGAATGGGTTTCTTGAGATGGTTAGACTCGGAACTACTCACTGCTTCTGCTTAGGCATGTTTTCAGGGACACACAGCAAATGAACCTGAATGCACAGCCAAATTGGGTTAGTATCCCTGGTCTGTCAAGACAAATAACAGTGTCTAGGCAAACACATAAGGGTATGTATTATGTTTCTTAGCATGCAATGCACTCCTTCAAGAGCCAGTCTCTTGAGGACACTGTGTTTAACAAGCCTCTGGAGATCCAACAGCATGTTCACCTAGGAATTTCCAACTACCAAACAGTGATTTTAGATTTTGCTTGGCTTCCCCAATGTTAAGTCCATGGTCTGGTGCTTTTCTTTAGAAAGCCAAAGATTAACTGCAGGCACAAAGCTTAAGCAGCAAGAACACCCTGACTGTTACAGGGCAAGACACAGAACTGATCCCAACAATTTCATTTACTTTCTAACCCGGGTTCTCCCAGAAATCCAGACGCTGATGAGATGATCTCTGTCACCAGCTGGTATTTATACCGCAGCAGAACAAAATGCACGTTTTACAATTAATGTTCTGGCAAAGGCTAGCATCAGACACGGATATTCTGAAAATATTTTGGTTTGCATCATTGCTGCCATTCTCACAGGAGCAGCCTTTCAACACAGCCTTTCAATAGAAGGGAAACTAGTGCCATCTGTTTCCCACTTGATGAATGGTCAGCAACGGTATTGCCATATATCATGCCTGAATGGGGAAGAGCTAGTAGCAAAACCACAAGTAAAACAGATTTCTCTGACAACTGCATCGAAGTGCAGTTATAAATGGAAGGCGTCAGTCCAGTTACACATTTAATCCCAAACAGTTGCCATTTGACCATTATACCCTAAATATTCTGTCAGCTGGAGAGCTTAATAGCTAATGTAGAAGCATTTGAGTCTAGAAGTACTTATCAGCACTGCTAAACTTAAAGCTCTCTGTCTCAGCTTCCATTCTAAACCATAATTGTGTGTCTAGTGCTGGAGTTGACACTACATTTCTATAGATGTAAGTGTACTCAGAAGTACGTATGACTGGGCCCTTTAAAAGGTTTAACTTGAAAGCTTTGAAATTTAGATTTCAAATTAGAACCAGGGAGTTAGACTGCCAGCTACCATAATGCCTGAATCTTAGCCATGGAAGTTTAACCATGTGAAATTTGGGACAGATAAAAAGATGGCAAGTAGGAATGTAGCTCCACAGAAGTTAAAAAGCATTACACAAGATAGTTTTGTCAAATTTAAGCATGTTACTGAAATACATGACATCTTATAAATCAGCAGTTCCACAGAAGCGAAAAGGGCAGCTCACCAACAAAGAATCAGAAATCCTAGTGGAGCATATTTGTCGTTCTGCAGAAAAGGAGATTTACCTGCACTGGTAAGGGAGCAGTATTCCCCCAGGTCAGGGGAAAAGTGGTCCTCCTCCTCCCTGGTCTCCCTGCAAAAGGAGAAGTTGCTATTCCCCCAAGTTCTGCTTTAAACAACTGCTTTAGCAACTTGAATGGACTCAGAAAAGACTGCAGGAAGAAATTCTCTCCATCCCCCTGCCCTCTCACTTTTGGAAAAGCAGCATTGAAAATAGAGACTTGCCTTGCAAAAAATTTGGAGTCAAGCAGAGAACAGTAAAGTAGGTGGGGAATAAAAAAAAACCCACAGCCTGCTTATTACATTTGTGAAAGGCTGGTACAAAGCAGCGTGCATCATACGTGTGCCAAAATGGTTTCATGCTTTCGTTACCTGTCAGGACTAGAATTTGGTGCTCAGTTTTGTTCGCAAAATTTAATTTGATGATCTAAATTAAAAGGAGGTATTGCTTCAGATGCTCATTAAGTTTTCAAGTTAGGGAAGAACTTCTGAACTCTTTCAGATTTTAAAATAAGAAAAGCTGAGCTGCTTTCATTTGCCTTTCCAGATTCCTTCTGATCACCCAAGAAGAATGAAAACCTTTTATAACAGAAAGGAAGGAATTCCTAGAAGGCAGGCATGTCTCCCTTTGTAACACAATTATCAGGCCAGTCAGAAGGAACATGCTCACCTGCTTCTTGCAAAGCTGAAAGAGAAACACTCCCTGGGGTTATGGGAGAGCAGAGGGATGCCAGTCCAACTACTCAATACCTTCCTCTCTTCCCATCTCCTCATTCTGACCCTGGAGCATTCATCCTTTGTGCAACCCAAAATTGCCAGTACATTGTCAGAGAGGAGGAAAACCCCTGCAAATGATTTGATTTCCCCTTCTGTGTACAAAACAGC